TCTCCCTCTCTGGAGATATTTAAGAACAGGTTAGATAGACATCTGTCAGGGATGGTGTAGGTGGAGCTTGGTCCTGCCTTGAGGGCAGGGGGCTGGACTCGATGACCTCTTGAGGTCCCTTCCAGTCCTATTATTCTATGATTCTATGATTCTATGGGGAATAAGCCGGAAGAAATTGAATTGCTAGTAAATAAACACACATAAATATGATATAGTTGGCATCACAAAGACTAAGTGAGATAATGTAAATGACTGGAATATTGGTATAAAAGGGTACAGCTTGCTTAGGAAGGACATGCAGGGAAAAAACGGAAAAGGAATTGCCTTATGTATTAAAATGTATACAATTAGACTGAGGCTGAGATGAACAGACAGACTTGTTGAGAGTCTCTGGATTAGGTTAAAAGGGGTAAAAAAAAAACCCAAGGATGATGTCATGCTAGGGGTCTACTACAGACCACCTACCCAGCCAGAAAAAGTGGGCCAGGCTTTTTTTAAACAACTAACAAAATCGTCCAAAGCACAAGACTCATGGTGATGGGGGACTTCAACCATCCAGGCATCTGTTGAGAAACTAACACGGCAGGGTACAGCTTATCCAACAAGTTCTTGGAATGTATTGGTGACCTTTTTTTTTTATTTCAGAAAGTGAAGAAAGCTACTAGGGGGACGACTGTTCTAAATTTGAAAGTGGAAGGCAGCTTGGGTGAAAGTGATCATGAAATCATAGAATTCATGATTATAAAGAATAGAAGAAGGGAGAACAGCAAAATGAAGACACTGGATTTCAGGAAGACAGATTTTAGTAAACTCAGAGAGTTGGTAGGTAAGGTCCTTTGGGAAGCAAGGCTCAGAAAAAAAACATCTGAAGACACTTGGCAGTTTTTCAAAGGGACATTATTAAGGGCCCAAAAGCAAACTATTCCACTGCGTAGGAAAGATAGAAAGTATGGCAAGAGACCACCTTGGCTTAACCAGGAGCTCTTACATGATATAAAAATAAAAAAGGAGTTGTATAAAAAGCGAAAACTAGGTCAAATGATAAAGGATGAATATTAGCAAATAATGCAACTATGCAGGGGCAAAATTAGCAAGGCAAAGGCACAGAACAAGTGCAATCTAGCTAGAGACATCTAGGGTAACAAGAAGACATTCTACAAATATATTAGAAACAAGACGAAGACCAAGGACAGGGTAGGCCCATTGCTCAGTGAAGAGGGAGAAACAATAAAGGAAATCTGGAAATGGCAGAAGTGCTTAACAACTTCTTTGTTTTTGTTTTCACCAAGAAGGTTGATGGTGACAAGATGCCTAACATAGTGAATGCTAGTGGAAATGGGGTTGGTTTAAAAGTTAAAATAAAAAAGAACAAGTTAAAAATTACTTAGAAAAGTTAGAAGTCTGCAAGTCACCATGGCTTGATGAAATGCATCCTAGAATACTCAAGGAGCTGATAGAGGAGCCATTAGTTATTTTCTTTGAAAGGTAATGGAAGATGGGAGAGATTCCAGAAGACTGAAAAAGGCAATTATGTGCCCATCTATAGAAAAAGGAAATAAGGACAGCTCGGGAGACTGCAGACCACTCAGTTTAAGTTCTGTATCAGGAAAGATAATGGAGCAAATAATTAAGTAATCGATTTGCAAACATCTAGATTCTAGATGATAGTAAGGTGATAAGTAAGAGTCAACATGGATTTGTAAAGGACAAATCATGTTAAATCAACCTGATGGCTATATTTAATTGGAGAGCTTGGACCCCTCCCCTAGGCCTCCCACCACACCAGAGGGGGAAACATCTGGCATCGCTGGCACCGCAGGGTCGGTGCTGGAGGAAACTGACTTTTAAGCTGGCTCCTCCCCGCACCGGCTCCTACTACTCCCCGTCCTCTCCCTTCCCCCCTTTGCCTCTGATACAGAAGTAGCAAGGAGGGGAAATGCGAGTAGTCTACTAGATTAACTGATACACCTAGGATTATTGGTTAGTTGTCTAGTCGACTATTGTTGACATCCCTAGTAATGAATCTTCTTCCATAAAGTGTGCTACTTGCAGGGCTGTGGTCCAGTGGGAACACGGCACGTGCAGAATAATCATGAGTAGAAATAAGTTTAAAGGACCAAAAGAAACCAAGACCTAACTGTTCATTATATCAGTGAGTCACAAGAGACCTTAGTTGTGTACCGAGACATTTATCTATTTCATGAATTAGATCCCCATCCACCTCCTAAGTTTATAAAATTCTGGCAAGGCATACTTTAAGATCTGCAGGAAAGAGGCATATTTACTTCTCAAAGGCTGTCCTGTGTTTATTAGAAATTTTTAATTTTATACATGTCGGATATGTGAGATATATTAAAGTTAATGCCGTCTCTGACATTGGTGAAATGTTACCGCTGAAATGTGGTCAGTGAATTTTTACTTTCATATGTAGGATTTTATCCTTAACAGTTCTGTTTTAGGAATGCATAGCTGAATGAAGACTGGCAGAATATTGAGGTCAGAGCTGCCAATTAACCTTTTGATTTCAGAGGCTGATTACTCCATTAGTCAAGGGGCAGAAGCAACAGAGAGAATGAGAAGGGTTGTAGCTGCAGAATAACAATCCTGGGAAGGAATGATTTATGTCATACAGTGATGAATTTGGAAGAAAGGGAGAGCGTGTGGTCACTGACTTCTCAAGTTCACATGCAATGTATCAGCAAGAGGGCCTCTGTGTTTGTGACCAGGCTTTAGTAGCACTTCACTTGCTTTATCGGCCTCCACTGATCAATAGTTTCCTTTTATAGCAGTGCCCCAGTGAATAAATTTTCACAATAAATGTCCCTGCTGAGCAGTTAGATTTGAATAGGGTTGGATCGTAGGGGTGGTGGATTAAATAATGTAGAATCTGAGTGTGTGTCTAAATGTGGATGTGCAGGAAAGTTAAGACACAGTAACAAAAGGTGTGACATTAAAGTGCATTAGTGAAAGCACATTAAATCCTTTGTGGATGCTCTCAGCAATGAAGTGGCCTTAGGATATGTCTACTCTACACATAAAAAGCTACAGTGGCACTCACTAAAACAATAAGAGAGTGCTGTAGTTAATCCACCTCCCTGAGAGGCAGTAGTTAGATCAACAGAAGAATTCTTCCACGCTCTACACTGGGGCTACATCTAGACTACATCCCTTTTTCGTAAAAGGGATGCAAATTAGACATATCACAATTGCTAATGAAGCGGGAATTTAAATCTCCTCCGCTTCATTAGCATAAAAATGGCTGCTGCTTTTTTTCAGCACGGAGCTTTGCCGGAAAAAAGCACCAGTCTTAACGCGGATCTTGTGGAAAATAAAGCCTTTTCTGAAAGATCCCTTGTCCCTTATTTTAAGAGATAAGGGATCTTTCGGAAAAGGCTTTATTTTTCGCAAGATCCATGTCTAGACTGGCGCTTTTTTCCGGCAAAGCTCCATGCCGAAAAAAAGCGGCAGCCATTTTTATGCTAATGAAGCGGGGGAGATTTAAATCCCCGGTTCATTAGCAATTGCGATACGTCTAATTTGCATCCCTTTTACAAAAAAAGGATGCAATCTAGACGTAGCCTGGGTGTTAAGGTGGCATAGCTACATATCTCAGGAATGTGAGAAGTCCACACCCTAGAATACACAGCTATGCTAATGTAAGTTTTCCATGTAGATCAGCCTTTAATTTGTTTTAGCTTAAATCACTTCACTTCTAAAGTGAATTCAGCTGAACTGATTAAGGCCTTTCTAATACTGATTGTGTTGTGTCCACACACAGATTTAATGCATCTTAACTAATGCACTTTAAAAGTTAGTTTATCTTTACATTAGGACAAGTTGGTAAAGTTGACAAGTCATTAGCCTTTCGATTGACCTAAAATGTATTAGAGAAACACTGTAGAATATAAGGGGAAGCTGACACCACATGAGGTAACTGCAGAAGATTTGAGGTTCAGGTGAATCAGTAGAGATCATTAGCACAGACCTCAGGTATGCCTTGGCCATTCCCAACTAGTTATGATTTGTGAACCTCAATGTCAAAGAAAAGGCAAGAGATTTCTGAATGGCCATTAGTTTTGTCATTAAAAAAGGTAAGGTAAATCTTTTCTTAAACCTGAGCTGCAATGTTGATACAACCATCTGACTGGGCAGTTTCTTCAGTGTATATTTAAGTAAAGCCAGTCTCTGCAATCAATGGGGGATAAATTGAGTTTTAGTTAATCATAAGACACCTTTGGTGAAAGTTTCTTAGTAATTGTTATGTATGCTCTTGAAGGATTCACAGCTCTGGCAGCTTCTTTTGAAATATTAAAATACCTGGGTGAGTGGCAGACAGCCCCTACTGGCCTCTTTTCCAGAAACTAGTCCAGCTGAGGCAGCAAACTGGAAGAGACAGTGGTTGTTCTTCAGGCATTTTGTAACAATAAAAACCCCCTTCCACAAATCTTAAGAGACTGCTAGACAGTTTGACAATTTGAGATCAAAGCACTTACAGTCAAATTAGGTATGCACTGGAGAAGATTTCCTCTATTACTGGCTTTCTCCAGGCACCATTCTGAACAGTTGTATTTGCAACTGACTACAGAAAAACAACTTTTCTACTGTCCTGCCTCCCAGAAACGTAAATCATAGTCTTGGGATGTGCAAAGGAAATAAGAACATTAGAATGGGAGAGTATAACTTTGAATTTTTGTAGCTCATTGCTAAAAGTGAAACCAAGCAAGGAACTCTCCCTCCTCGTCCCACCAAAAATTCTCTCTCAGATCCCATTTTAACATCTTCTAGTGACCCTAAAGTACATAGCTCAGTCCTACATCATCCTTCTTGAGCTGGGAGAGGACCTTTCAGCTCCTGACTTCTCATACTTTGCTTGCTTGTTCCTTAACTAATTAACCCCATCATCTCATTTGGCTTGGCTAGCACCCTAATTACAATGCAAGATCCACTTGGTGCTAATGCAACTTTTACCAAGATACACTTTTCCCTCCTCCCCTTCCTAGAGCTGAAGAAGCAAGTGGAAAGTGCCGAACTGAAAAACCAACGACTTAAAGAAGTTTTCCAGACCAAGATCCAGGAGTTTCGCAAGGTATGCTACACACTGACGGGATACCAGATTGACATCACTACTGAGAACCAATACCGGCTCACCTCCATGTATGCTGAGCACCAAGGAGACTGCTTGCTTTTTAAGGTAGGCTTGTATTCCCCCGTCCCATCCAACTCTTTGAGGTAATTGTGATCAGCAAGCCAGAATACTTTCTTCATTCTAACTGCTGAGAAATGCCAAGTCAGAAGCTCTTGCTATATGACAGTTGTTCCTTTTTGACCACCTTCTGCATTTGAATACAGTGAGAGTGGAGATGCTTCCTCCTTTTAAAGAATTCTGTGAGAAGACTGAGTCCTAATTCTTCCTCTCACTTATACCAGAGTAAATTGGGAGGAGTTTAGGCTAGGGATGTGAACACTTAACAGGTTACCTGGGAAGCATCACCTTTAATGGGTGATGCTTACTGGATAAGGTTAACTGACGCCTGGGAAGTGCCAGTCCCATGTGGGACTGGGAGCTAGCAGCCTGGGCTAGCCACAGAGCCCCTCCATCCACCACAGCTCGGCTAGAACAACTCCCTTCCCCTCCCCCTGCTGCAGGCAGAGGTTGCTCCAGATGGGCTGGAACCACTCCAGCCCAGCCATTGCAGGTGGGGGGACCAGCCCAGCTGGGCTAAAGCAGACACTTCCCCCACCCAGCCCTCCTTTTAATTTATTAACCTGTTAAATATAGTGTTTAACACTTTGTTTAACCAGTTAACCAATTAATTGGTATTTTACATTCCCAGTTTATACTACAACTGCACTAAGAATGCTGTGGTTGCAAAGCTGCAATGTTGTAACACTGCAGTGTAGACATTCATTACAGTGACAGAAGGGCTCTTCCCTTTGCTGTAGTTAATCCACCTCCCCAGGACGTGACCACTTGGTTGATGGCAGAATTCTGTCATTTTAGCACTGTCTACACTAAGGATGAGGTTATCAAAAGTTGCTCTTCTCGGGAAGATAGGGTGTGAATGGATTTTAAGAGCTGTAACATGCTAGTGTATGTTTCCAGTGTAAACCACCCCTCAATCAAATTCAGTGGAGTTACTTTGGTTTAAAGGAAAATAAAATATGCGCACGATGCTCCAAGAATCTAGCATTAGAACTCCCTATTTTCTATCAGCAGAGAAATGTACCATATCTTCATATTCTCAAACCTAGCCAGAGGGATATGTGTTTAGCTGGCTACTCTTTATGGTGAATCCTGCGTCAGTGTGGTTGCTGGACTAAATCAGTGGTGCTCAACCTTTTGTCATTCACGATCCCTGTGCTGCGGGGGCTGCCAATGGCCCCGGATCAAAGCACCATGCGACCGCCAACCACCGGGCCCAGCCCCCAGCTGGCCAGATCAAAACATCGCGACCCCCCAGGAAGATAGCCGCAACCCCCTTGGGGTCATGACCCACGGGTTGCGCACCACTGTACTAAATGACCTCTGAACATCTCTTCCATCCCTACAGTTCTGTGATTGTATATCCAGGACAGGGCCTCATCCATTCATCTGTCCAACATTTTAGGCCTGTTATTTCAAGTGCAGCTTTCTCCTATTGTTAAGTAGTAATATTCAGTATTCACAGGCTGTTCAGACACTGTGGAATTACTAAGACATTGACTATGTCAGGGCTCAACAAAATACAATCTTAGTTGGAGAAGATGAGAGAGGGGGTTGTTAGTTGAGAAATCAACAAGCCGTTTGTGTAATTTATTTACCCAAGATTAGTTGGAATGTAAAACCAGCTGCCAAAGTCAGCTACAGAAGTAAGTTTCTCTATAAGTTGTTCCCCTTTTGCAAATTTTTAATAACTGCTGAAGTACTGAGGGTTTTTTAATTAGCTGGTTTGAACTGGCTGAGCAGTTTTCTGGCAAGACGGGAGTGGTGGGGAATAGACATAAGCACTGAGGGCTATTTATACATTCTAGGTTAATAGAAGGTTATTTTGTAGTGCTTTCCAATGGAAATTGTTTATGACACGGTGTTCCACTACATCACACTGTGCAATCACATCCTTTTCTCCTTACAGTCCTAAAAGTCACTTCTTTAATGAGTGTTATAAACTATAGCTTTGTAACAGGGTAGCTGGCTCGTTAAATGAAACTGGACTCAGCTCTCCTGTTCCTGGAAGAAGACTGAAGGCAGGAGAACTGCAGGTGGGATCTGCTGGCTACTGTCTCCAAGCCACAGAGCTGGGGCCAATGTCTGGAGAAGGCTGAAGGCCAGAGAAGGATGCCTGCTAGCTCCAAACTGGAGAGCCAGAGCCAAACAATAGAGAAGACTGAAGGAAAGGAAAGGAAAGCAGGAGAGGGGCTTACCCATAGTCACCTTCTCTCTGAAGAGCTGCATCCGAAGACCAGTAAGAAGGTCGGGAGAGAGTGTAACGCTCCCCTGGCAAGTGTTCTCCTAGCACAGAGACTATGGGCATTCCCACTGGGAAGAGCAGGAAGTGTAAGAAATGTAACCTTAACAGATGACACTAGGCCACGGTGAGAACAAGGACTGTTTGCAGACAGGTGATGTGCACTGTGTTTTGGGACTTTAGATGTAGATTCTTTGTAAAAGGTTGTTGTAATAAACTGGCCCCTGTAGGAATATTTTTTTAAGAGCGAGCCTGAAGTGGAGTCCATTGGGTTATTCAAGAGGGAAAATAAGCAGAGGATGTGCTTGCGGGCCTGCCCTGAGACCTGAGAGTGTGCCTACAAGTAGGCCACTCATTTGTAAGCCTAGGTACATTTATTTTAAGAATATTCAAAGTGATATAACAAATAAGGTGCATGCAAGTGCCCCAATGCTGTCATCATTTCTCCTTGTCTTGTCTTGCACTGAAATCTATGGGACAGGGACTGATCTTTATTTTTGGGAAGTGCCTTAACATCTATAGTGCAAAATAAGTACTATAACATTCCCATGGGTGGCAATGGGAAGTCCCATAGTGGTCTGGCTGTATGGCCAGGCTTTGAGTGCAGATTTTATGGGCACTGTCTTTCATATGAGACACTTATCTCATGGGCAGCACTTTTGGGGCACTGTATGAAATAAATAATTGAGATGTGTCCTCATCAGCAGCAAACAGTTTAGTCACACCCTCACACTGGTTTAATATCATAGGTTTTATTTCCACATGCAATAAAACCTTCATCCTAATCTTCATGCTTCTCCTGTCATGATGCTTAACACTCTTACTCCTATTTTTGGCATTCTGTTCTAAATCATGAAGTGATATAATTAAAAACAAATCATGAAAAGCAGCTCCCATCTCCCTAGGGTCTCAGTGTTGGTAATAGCATCTTACCCATCCCAGCAAGTGTTAACCTACAGAGCAACTAGGAGTACTACACGTCTCCCCTATGGCAACTGCAATTAAAATCATATTCACTTCCAGTTGGTCCCTTGAGGGCATGATGGTCTTTTGTCCACATTATACTCAGCACCATATAATTTGGTACAAATAATAGCATTTTCTATAAAGATGGCAGTGACTCACTATCAGAGATATTTCAGGCAAGTTAAGGCTAAGACCGTTAGCAAAGTTGTGTGTGGGAAGATTGCACGTTGACCACCTGAATTATAGCATTCATTTACCTCCACATTCTTCTTAACGCCATACCAAAATAAGCTCGAGAGCTGTTGGAAAAGAGTAAGCAAGCAGAGACTCTTATCTCTAAATACTGATCTTGCTTTACTTTCTTCACTTGTGGCTTCATTCCTAAGTGTTTCCATAGAACTAAATTGGATGTCACCAGACATGGCAGGAGAAGTTTAGATCTCCAACATTTTCAGGAGGCACCCTTCAAGAACAGTCTCCGCAAATGGCTGATTGATTTATAGGCTTCCCTGGCACACCGTCCCACCATGAGGGTTGCCTTTGTATAAGAGGAACAGATTTGAAATTCCTTTAACACAGAAGCCCCACAACAAAATCTTGGAATCTTTCTCCCATCTTAAGAAGTTGCATCCCCAAAGTCTATTGTTCAGAGAAAGAGCAAAGTATATACATCTGTTTTTCCCCTCAGTGAATACAGACTGCTGATGCCTATGTATACAATGAGGCTTGGATCCTGATTATGGCTTCTCAATGGGATTGTGTGTTTATGCTGTGGAATCTCTGAGCTGTAACTTACTGTGGGTGTTTGTGTGCATTTCATTAAGCTGGAGAGGTCACAAAGCAGGAAACACTGTTTGTATTTATTTCACTCATGCAATCTATGGAGCAGGTTCTATATAATTAGACCAAACAAGTCCCGTTACACTTTACAAGCTTCTGCAGCTTGTCTGCAAACTTTAGGGCACGTTTCAGTAATACAGCTGGTGGCATTTAATTTTCATTGAAACTTGAAGAGTCAGCTATGCAAGAGTAGTTACTGTAATGGCTGTAACCCCTTCAGAGCAGAATGATGTGTGAGGTATTTCCAGGCAGAATTTTCCTTTCTTGTGGCTGGCCACCCTGCCTTGTCTGCTGTAACTTTCCAGTCAGTTCATATGATACAGAAGCTGAGTTGTTTGTTAGAGCAGCAGTGGATGGGTTAATCAGAATGACGCATTTTAAGAAGAAGAGACTGTCCATAAATGAATACTGAATTTCAATGAATTTTTTATCAGTGCATATTGGAGATCCCTATAGACACAACAGAGGAGCTCATCAAGATGAAGGATGTTACAATGATTTTAAGAACCCCTGCATGTGCATGTACATAGGCTGGAGCATCTCAGACTTCGCAGCCCTCTCTCTTTCTTTCTCTCGCTTTAATTAAATGCTATGAAAAGTCATGTTCAGACTCCTTACCAGGAGTTTAGTTTCAGATGATTTTGCGGAAGGTTATATATTACAATTATTGCATTACTTGGCAGTTTCATATTCTATCACTGTTGCTGGTTCATTAGTTCATTAGTTTGTAATGCATATTCTTTGCTTTCTGTGTAAGTGCTTGTAATGTAGCTCTATCCAGGCAACCCAACAAGAGATGCACTGACTACACTTTTACCTACTGCCTTCATTTTTCCTGCACTAATCAATTTCTTTATGACAAATCTGTTAGCTATACCTATTGCTAAACAAATAAATATTAAAAGACCAAGAGAAATTACCAAGAGTAAGCTTAGCTGAC